CGATCGCGAGAGCATCGCGCTCCGGCCGACCGTCTCCGCATGTGCGTGACCTCCGTCACATCTGCGTTCCAGCCAGGAAGGAAAACACGACCCATATGGTACCAGCATGCGCGTCGCCTTCCGAATCGGTGTCCCGTTCTCGTCCACGAGCCCGTACATGCACTGGTGCAGCGTGACCGTGTCGTAGGATGGTGGCCTGTCGTCTTTCCAGCTCATCAGGTCCGTCATCGATTCTTGGTTCCACGCTCGGCTCGTCAACGGGTTCTCGCCGATACCGATTCGTCCTCCTTCAGCCTGTAGTCGAAGTACGTCCGCCGAGAAGCTGACCAGTGGCGTAAACTCCTCGACCATGTCATCGACCCAGTCGCCCATACCCTGCGCCCGCTGAAACTCCTGCATGTTCGTGAAGGGCGTACAAGGAAACGCGACTGAAACCATCCAAGGCTTGAAAATCTTTATCATGAACAGGAAATCGGAACAAACCTTGGGGTCATTGAAATTCACACCAACCGACAGATCTGAAGGGGTCGCATTCGCATGACCACCTCTCGAGGCCGCTCTGGTAAAGCGAGCCTCCTTCGCAAACAGCTCCCAGAGGAAGGTCTCCGAGTTGTCACGCAGCACGTCGAATATCACCTCGTACTCCTTCATGAGCTTGTCGATCCGCTTGACCGTGCTCTTCTTGAGAATGCCCTTGTTGCCGTTCTTCAAAGCCTCCGCGACCCACGCGTCGGCGTCGTCCTTCAGCTGGAAGTCCGGCTTGACCTCCTGCAGCGTCTCCGCGACCAGGAACACCTCCGGCTCGGGGTCGACCTGGTGGATGCGGAACTTCTCGAAGAGCGGCTCCGTCTCGTACGACTCCAGGTCGTAGTCGAAGATGTCGATACCCGCGCGGCCGCCTGGAAGCTTCACCAGCTCCTTGTCGTAGACCCCCAGCTCCTGGAAGTCCGCCCAATGGCCATCCTCGCGCACGTAGAGGTTCGTCTTCCAGTCGGCCAGGTTCTTCCTGCTCGTGAGGCCGACCATGTCACCAGGGATCTCGAAGTACTCCTGGATAGCGTGGACCCTCCCAATGCCGATGGGGATGATCCACTTCTGCTTGGCTTCACGCTCGGCACCGCCAAGCCCCTTGAACCTCTGCGTGGCGCCCACCTTGATGGGCTTCAGGCCGTACTTCGCGAGCTCGGTCTCGACGCGGTCAAGCCAGCCGCGCCCGGCGACCGCCACCGACGCGCCGCTGTCCACCAGGGTTGCCGGCACCGCCTCCTTCGAAACCAGCACCTCCAACTCGAGCCTCTCCGGCACGATCGGATCGCTATCCACGCTCACCGTCATGATGTCGTAGACGTCCTCGGCGGTCTGCACCACGGCGCTGTCGGCCAGCTCGCCCGCAGCGGTCAGCTGACCCACGAAGTTCACGCACGCCGGGACGGCGCAGACCAAGGTCGTCATCGCCCAGAAGCCGTAGCGTCGTGGACGTTGGACTCCTTTCGGTCCCTTGCCACGGCCCTTGGACTTGCCCGTCTTGCCAGTAGAGCCGCCAGTCGGACAGTTCGCCGTGTCGTGGTCCATCCGGCCGCAGTTGGTGCACCTCTTGTCCTTTGACTTACCCTTGTCCTTTCCTTTGCCAGGGTTGCCTTTCGAGAAACTTCTTCCGGCCGCCTTGCCACCAGCAGCCGCGCTCTCGTCCACGACTCCGTCGATTCTTCCCTTGAAGAACCCACGAGCAGCCCGAAGCTTGTTCATCTTCAGGCGGCTCTCGCGCAGTATGACGAGGGCCCTGCGGTAGTCGTCGTCCTCGTCGGCCAGGAACGTGTCCGCATCGTCCTCGATGAAGAACAGGTCGCTGCAGTCCCAGCCGTTGTCGTCACCCTCGTCCGTACACACGTGGATTCCACGCTCATCGTCCCATTCATACCAGTATCCGTCATCGTCCTGTACCCAGTATTCTCCTGGATCCTCTTCGTCGGGTGGCTCCTCTTCGGTGTTCATCGCCCATCTCCAGCCCGATCTGACTTGTCCCCGATGCTTCGCGCTGCCGCGTGGGAAGAGGTTCTTCAGCGTCATGCTGATCTTCTGGAAGTTGAACGTCTCCTCTGCCCGTGCAATCACCAGATTGCGCTCGTCCTTGTCGAGGCCGCTTCGCTTGAGAGTGTGGTACCCTAGCTCGTTGCTGCTTATCTTCGTGTCCGGGTCCACCTCCTCCAGGTTGCGCTTGGCAACCTCCATGGCCGTACAGAACGCCGCCATGGGTTCCTCACCTTTCCGCTCGAAGTGCGTCTGATCGAAGAAGGCGTCGAATGCCTTCGGCAGCTCCCGAAAACTGCTCTTGGCGAAGCGCTGTGCCTCCAGGTATGCCAGCAGCGCGCGGGCCCCCTCCTTCTTGGCATAGTCCTTGGGGTCCGTCTGCTCAATGAGCACGCTGATGCTGTTGTCCGCGCCGAGCAGGTTCCTATACAGCTTGGGGCCGAGCGCTTGTAGTTGATCCTCCGTCTCGCAGCTCAGCTCCGCCGCCTGCACGGCGCGCTTGTACCTCGTGAAATCCTCGAGGGTCTCGCCCTTCAGCACCGGGATTCTTGGATCCACTGCACTGTTGTGATGCTCCGTCATCTCTCTGGATGGCTAGTCCGTGTCCGTGTAGATTATCTTGATAATCGTTATAATGAAGATCGTGGGGCCAACCACAAGCTCCGCTGCCAACCTCGTTTCTGGTCGAAACTCTCCCGCTCGAGCGTGTCGATACCGTCGGCGGGAATCTCGAAAGAGAACTCGATCGAATAGCTCCAAGCCGCTATCGCTCCCTCGACCCGTCGCTTCTGCAGTGGGAGAAGGGAAGCGCCTTTCTCTCGAGCCCAAGCGCCGGCGCTTGATACACACATGTACACAAGCGTGCTAGATACATATCCTGGGTTTTTCCCCCAGAAATCACAATGACCAACAGCAAATGCTGTCCAGAACCGACAGCGGCCGTTGTGGGGCGTGCGAGCTGGACCACGGCCGAGGTGACGCCAGCAGGGGATCCTCTTCACAGTGCGCAGGAGCTGCTGTCGGACTCTGCACCCGCTGCTTCCGTACAGATTTCAGCCCCCCTTGGCCCAGACCTCCGAGGATCGGACTCTCTCGCCCTGGGCAGGCCCCGCCCTGGCGGCGCTGGCAGGACGCGTCGGGCCCCGGCGCGCACGCCGCGCAGACTTGTTCGGTCCTTGCTGCCAGCCCTCGGCGCGGTCGGTCGGGGCGTTCTTCCTCGATCTCGGCCTCCGGGCCCCGCTCTCGGGCCTCGGGGCCAGCAGCAGCGGGCCCGGGGCGACTGGCTACACCCCCGTCTGGGGCGGCGGACGGAGAAAACAAAACAGAGATCGGGAGATCTCTGGGTCTCCCTCGCCCTCGGTCGAGCATCGAAGGTCGAGCGGAACATTCGCCGACGACAGCGACGACGACGACGACGACGACGACGACCGACGACTGACGACCGACGACCGACGACCGACGACCGACGACCGACGACCGACGACCGACGACCGACGGCCGACGACCGACGACCGACGACCGACGACCGACGACCGACGACCGACGACCGACGACCGACTGACGGCGACCGACGGCGACCCACGGCGACCGACGTCGACGACCGACGTCGCCCTCCGTCTTCGGAGGTCGCCTCGAGTCCCAGGAGGTCCCAGGAGGTCTCTGCACGGAGCTTCCCCTCCGCAGGTGGCGACGAAAACGCGACGACGGAGGTCTGGGAATCTCGAAGGGAGCCCGGTGGTGCCGACGAGAAGCCCCCTGCGGAGGGCACAGAAAGCGCCAGAACCGCACATGTAGCACAAACACCTTGTAGTACGCTGTTTCCCGAGAGGTATGGCCAGAAAGCCCCCGCCACGGAGCTTATACTACAGGAGTTCTCGGCGCGCGCGTCGCCCCTGGGGGGGCGACGCACACGTAGTATCAGGACACTTGGTTGATATCGACTAACGTTCAACCCTGGATCGTCTCGAAGACGAACGAAACACCACAAAGGACAGATGTCCTGGCCTGGCTGAAACCAGGTGGGGGAAGCCATGGCCTCTGGGATCTGGTTCGCATGAGAAAAAGCACGGACACGCATCGGAGCTGCGAGACGCACACAAAATCACGACTGGTGGGGGGAGGAGGAGCAGGAGGCCCTGGCCGTGGATCATCTCGAGGAAAAGGGGGGATCCGCGGCTCCGCGGGCCTGGGCTCCACGGCCAGGCCCCCCGTGGATGCAGGGCGGCTGCGGGCGGCTGCCCCGCGCGGAGCGCACCCGCAGGGCCGCGCCGAAGAACCCCAGATCCCAAGGGCATGGACTCGGACATGTCTGCCGCGAACTCCGCGCAAGATCGGGCCCCAGACCCCTCCGGGAGCCCACCCGGGCCAGGTCCGCCCCGATGGACTTTTCTGGCAGTCCTGGGGCCCAGAAGCAAGCTCCAGTCGCCGAGGGCGACGGCCAGCAAAAAGTGAAGCATTCGGCGGCGAACCCAGGGTGGGAGTGAGGGGGGGCAGGCGGGGCTTCTCAGAAGCCCTCGCGCCTGCTGCGAAGCAGTCCGTGCTTTTCGGAGAAAGCCCAAAAGGCTTCTCGGCAGGCGCGAAGGTTCCCGAGAAGCCCCGCCGACCTCTGAGAAGGCCTGCCCCCTCTCGCTTCCCCCCCTGGGGCTCGCCGCCGAGTCCTCGCTCGGCTCGCTGTCGTCCTCGCTGGGCCCGTCGCTCCGGGGCCAGGGCCACGCTCGGGCCGGGCGAAAGGGGGGGATAGCCAAGGGGGGGGGGGAGAATCAGCTCACGCAGCTGATTTTCCCGGCGCCTCCCGGCGCCGGAGGCGGCCATGCATCGAAGAAGGGGCCCCTCGGTGGGGCCGAAACCAGCTGCATGCAGCAGATTTCGTACGCCCCCCTTTCCCGATCCCCCCCTCTCGTTCGGCCCGACACGCCCCGACACGGGCATTTAGCGGGCGCGGCGGCGGCGCAGCCCTGCGGCGGCGCGGTCGCCCGCGTCCCGTGCATCAGGCCCCCGGGCACGGGCGGCGCCAGGGCCCCATTCGGGGCGCCGTGCCCCGGGATCCGGAGCAGCCTCCGCTCGGCCCACAAGGGGGGCGCCGCGGGCGCCGTCGCCGTCGTGGCCGCCGTCGCCGCCGCCGGGAGCCTTCGCCGCCAGCGCCGCCGCCGTCGGCATGGGAGGGCGGGGGGGGAGCAGAGAGAGGGAGCAGGGGGGAGAGGGAGGAGGGACAGGGAGGGGGCAGAGGGAGGGGAGGGGGGGAGGGAGGGAGGGAGGGGGGCGGAAGGGAGGGCGGGGAAGGGGGGAATGGGGGAGGGAGGTTGGGTCAGGCCAGCCCCGAGGGGAAGAGACCCGCACGTCATGCCAGACTGTGGACCTCTGTCGAAACGGCAGAAGGATGACGGGCCTTTCCTTGACCGCGGCAGGACACCACCCCCAAAACTGTTTTAAATCCGCAGGCGCCAAATGGTCCAGGACAGTCAGGCGCCGGTCAGCAAGCGGTGGGGTGCACACGAGGAGAATTGAGGCACGCAGGCGAAAGAGAAAAGGGCGCGAGAAGTGGAAGAAGGCAAACACCCCCGAACACACACCACGACCCGACAAGGTCAACGTTGACCTTTTGGGCATCACGCTTCCTATGCCTGGGCTTCACGCAGGCGGATTGCTCTCGGAGAGCCGCCGTACGCTGGCACCACGAATTGATCATGCACCTGACCTAGGGAGCGGGTTTCCGAGGCAAGGGCAGTCGACACGTAGACTGATCGATCATTTGGCGAGTACGCTTGAGCCCGAGACTCTTTCGGTACTTCTGCCTCGATCCTTTTATTGGAGGGGTGCCGACAGGGGGCTCCCAACTTCCTGGCACACCGCCCGGCCCAGCACCCGCATCGAACAAGCAAAATCTCCAATGCTGCGGGCTTGGATGGGGCTCTTGCGAGGGGCTCTGGTGTGAATCTCAGTGGAGGCGACACCGACGAGCATCGGCGACGGAGCGACCGACCGACGACATCGGCGACGGAGCCCGTGGCCCCAGAGCAGCCAAGGGTATCCACCTCGTCCCCCTGCTGGCACCAGAACACGCATAGCTTACAACGACGCCACAGGATCAAACCTGCCACTCTTGCCAGCCTGGAGATCGCTTGACAGACCTGAGGGAAGCGAAAAGAACAGCAAGAGAGAGGACCTATATATATATATATATACACACACATACAAACAAACATATACATACACACATACAGAAATACAGACAGGCACACATACAAAAAGGCAGACAGGCAGACAGACAAACAGACAGGCAGACAGGCTGACATGCATACTTACTTGCATACATTCACACGTACATACATATATACATACATACATGCATTGATACACACATACATACCTACAGCATACATACATAGAAAAGCATTAGTTTTTACATAAAATAAAAAGCAATGCATTCATATATAGACACATGTAAATACAAACGTACATATATGCATGCATACATACATACATGCATACACACATACATACATACATACATACATACATACATACATACATACATACATACATACATACATATGGTCATACATGCATGCATGCATGCATGCATGCATGCATGCATAGATGCATACATTTGTACATACATACATACATACATACATACATACATGCATGCATGCATGCATGCATGCATGCATGCATACATACATACATACATACATGCGTACGTACGTACATACATACATCTATACATACATACATTCCCCAGACAGAGCTTGCCTTTGCCTCTGTAGGGGTCCCAGCGGATTCTAAAAGGTTAGGATTTGTTCGGCGCCGTTTCGGTGGCCGGTGGCCGGGTGCCTAGGTGCCCGGGTGCCCGTGGGTGCCCCGTGCCCCAGGATTTCGGTGGCCGCCTCCAGAAAGGTCGTGTGCGGGGTGCTGCCCCCAGGCCGCTCCACGCCCTCCGGAACGGGCACGCGGAGCTGTACGACGAGCCACCGCTCGTGCCTGCGCTCGCCACTGGCCTCCACGACAACGGTGGCCTCCTCTGCCTCCTGCAGCGGCGTGGGGGCGCGGGGTCGGGCCAGGGCCAGGCGCAGGCAGCTGTGGGCGGGATGTCCAGCCTCGCTGACCACGGCAATGCGGCGCACCCGGCGCAGGAACAGGAGCGTCGCAGCCGGGAGCTCGCCCAAGCGCCGCGCGACGTCCGCCACGCGGCAGCGCAAGGCTTGCCGAAGGGGGAGCACCAGTGAGGTAGTCCAGCCGTTGCTGCCGGTGGCGACGGCGCCACTGCGGGATCCGTCGTCGCTCAGCCACTCTGGCAGGATGGCGGGGTGCCCGGGTGCCCGGGTGCCCGTGGGTGCCCGGGTGCCCGGGTGTTCGGGGGGGCCCAGAGGTGCCCGGGGGTGCCCAGGTACCCTATAGCCATATAGCCCTATATTCGTATAGTTCCGTAGCCCAATAGCCCAATAGCCTATAGCCCAATAGCCCTCTAGCCCTATAGCCATATAGTTCTATGGCCCTATAGCCCTAGACCCCTAGAGCCTATAGTTCTCCAACCCTGTGGCCCTATAGCCCTATAGCTTTATAGGCCTATAGCCCTATAGCCCTATAGCCCTATAGCCCTATAGCCCTATAGCACTATAGCCCTAGTCCTATAGCCTCTGTAGCCCAATAGCCCAATAACCCTATAGCACGATACCCCTATATCCATATAGCCCATACAACCCTGTGGTCCCATAGCCCTACAGCCCTACAGTGCTATAGCCCCATAGGCCCAACAAGAATCGGACTGGGGCTTTTCTCCGGTATCATACATACATACATACATACATGCATAAATGCATGCAGGCAAGCAAGCAGGCAGGCAGACCACACACACACACATTCATACATGCATGCATGCATGCATGCATGCATACGTACACACAAGTAAACAAACATTCACACTCATACATGCACACAACATGCACGCATAACAAACATGCAAACGTACATACGGACATGCATTACGTACGCACGTACCTACATACATACATGCATACACGCATACATATATGCATACCTACATACATACATACATACGTACGTCGCGTACGTACGTACCAGCATCCGTACATACATGCATACACACATACGTATGTACATACATACATACATACATACAAACATACATAAATGCATACACCTATACATACGTATGTAGCGCACGTACGTACATATGTACATAAAATTGTATAGCTTGCTACTGGGCCCTCCCTAGACGCCGATGCCATCGCGAAGCGATTGACTATATACCAGACAACGTCCATTGCAAATATGAGAGTGTTCACCATCTGCACGGGAATTCATCCTTGTTCACACATAGGTATCTTGATACCGACGTCTTGAAAGCCTTGGTCTGCGCAGGCCTCTCGACGGCGGCGGTGAAAGGGAGCCACCGTCCTCGTCCACAAAAACTCTGAATCCCCTCGGGGTCTCTGGGCGGGTCAAAAGGACGAGAGCGCACAGACGGAAGCGAACGGAACGCTGCGGGTAGGGCGAGACAACTTGGTTGCGGCATCGGGCGCCCCCCCCTTCTGCACTGCTGTCTAAACAAATCACTCGTTGAAGAGCTCGCCAAATTATTTCTATAGCTTGATATCGGGCCCTCCCTAGACGCCGATGCCATCGCGAAGCGATTGACTATATACAAGACAACCATTTTCACGGGATCTCATCCTTGCTCACACATAGGTATCTCGATACCGACGTCTTGAAAGCCTTGGCACGCGCAGGCCCCCCGACGGCGGCGGTGAAAGGGGCTACCGCCGTCGACAACAAAAACTCTGGATCCCACACCTCGCAGGCCACGGGCATAGCGGGGAGGGCGTCGGAGGCGCTGGCGGCTGCGCTGGCGTCGGCGCTGTAAAGACCCCCCCCCACAAGCCCGCCTCCGCCCAGCGATTTCTAACGAGGTTGAGCAGCCTCCCCCCGTGGCGAACGATGTAGCGCACCCAGGATGGCCAGGTCGCTGACGGCACGCCTGGAGCGCCATCGATCTCGCCCACGCCCAGGTCGAAGTTGGGAGCTGGGCTGGCCTCGGCCAGCGCGCAGAGGAGTGGAGCCAACCCCCTCTATCATCGGGCCGAAGTCGCAGCCCGGGAGCTCCCGGCACGGATTGGCCCAGTGGGCCTGAAAGGTGACATTCGAGGTCGCCCATGCCATCGCGGCGCGGCCTGCGCGCAAGTAGCGCACCTGAAAGCCGATCGCCCGGAGCAGGCCGCGTTCGTCGAGCCCGCCTGGCGCAAAACGGTGCAAGTGGTGGTCGGCGAGCGGGCGGCCTGGAGCGACGACGTTGACATCCTTGATAGGTTCCGCAACCCACTCCAGCGGCACCTGCAAAATATGCGACCCCGCCCCGCTCCTCAGAAGGGCGGGGATATCCTCCTCGGCGTCCAGAAAGACTCTCCCTGACCGACTCGCCACTGTGACGTTCAGGAGGTCGTGGCCCTTCCACGCGGTCTCTCCTAGCGACATCGCGCCGCCCGCGATGGCCCCTACGAAGCGGGCCGCCGAGTCCGCGACAGTCGCACCCGATGCCAACGCCCAATTCGCAGGCCCGCCCACGCCATCGACGAGGTTCGCGATGGCCTCCACCCCGCGGGCCGCGGCGGGGAAGACCGCGGCGGGGAGCACCGCCAGCACGGCGACGACCACCACAAGGCTCTTGGCGGTCCTGCTGCGGACCCCGGTGGAACTCTTGATCCCCCGCCAGGCCCCACGGCGGCGAGGCCGCGCGGGGGGGGCCCGTGCTGCCCCCAGCCCCGGCCCCGTAGCCGCGGCGGGCTCAGCCGCGGCCGCCGCGGCGAAGGCCGCCGTGAGAGGGGCGGCGAGAAGCGCCCCACCATGGACTGGAGCAGGGATCGGCGCGCACCCCTGTCCTGGAAGGCCTGGAGCTGGCGACGAAATCGAGGCAGGCGACACAACTGACCACGATCCTGGCGCACCAATCGATCCCTTGGAACTGGCCACTGGCGAGGACACCCGCCCACTTGGCGCCCAGCTCCCGTCGACCTGCTTCCCGGGCCCCTTGGGCGCCACGGCCGGCAAAAGACTGCACGATGTACCAGGCCCAATGTCGGGTAGCCCACGCCAGTGCTGCCTCGAAGCCCTTGAGGCGCAGGGTCGTGCTGATTTGAGCCGCCGAGACTGCGTCAACGTAGATGCGCATGCTAGAATGCATTCTCCATCGGCCCGTCTCTCTGGCCACTTCGAAAGGCACGCCCGGAGCTGAGGCCTCCGATGCACATCCGGCTCTGGGGCTGTGCCGGGCCCACCTGACGTCCATGCCGAAGCCCCTCTGGATCTCTGCCAGCTCCCTGCGGTAGACCTCCAGGGGATACGGGAAGAGGCACTGGCCTGGCGGAGCGATACTTCTGAGGCGACGGAGCAGATGGATGAAGACGGCATCTTTTGGGAAACGAGACGATACTGCTTGCGCGCTTGGCCTCGGTCCCTGCCTCGAGGCCAAGCCCGATCACCAGCGCGCCCTCGTTCTGGTGGTAGCCTCCGTCCTCGAGGAAGGCCAGGTCGTCGGCCGTCAGGCTGAGTATCCCGGACGGCCGCAGGCCTATGTGGGCCTGCAGCGCCACGCCTGCTCCCAGGCGAAGGCGGCTCCTGCTAGCCATCTGCACTGCTATCCACTTGCTCGGCCGCGACGTCATGGGCAACGCGTGTCGGACGGGCGCCACGATGCTCCAACCGCAGATGGCAGCATGCGAACAGGCCAGCTTACCCTTCAAGCGGGGGAAGCGGAACTCGAAAGCGCTCACCGTCGCGATGAACTCGACCTTCCCCAGCTCGTCTCGCAAGCTATGTTTGAACTCGATCAGCGCGTCGCCCCACTCGTCCGGCGTCCACGAATGCGCGCGGTGCAGCTGGCACAGCGACACCAGTCGAGCGGCGGCACTCTTGTGGTGAGCCAGCGTCTTGGCGGTGACCCTGCCCTCCAGGTGCGGGTCCGATTGGACTCCCTGGCGCCTTTCCAAAATGGTCGTGGCCGTGGGAGCCCCAGACTCGGTGTAGATAGCTCCACATGGTCTCGAACGTGAGAGCTTGTCGGCGGGCTGCCTCTCCGTGTCCACCCACGGTAAATGCTGCCCGATGTCGGTGACGGCCATGAGCGCCCCACGGCGTCTCAGCAGGTAGTTGAGGTCGACCCTAGACGACCTTCCCTTCGCAAAGGCCCACGCCGTCACCATGTCGCCCTCCAGATTCATCCGCTGGGTCCGGTGAGCCGAAGCGGCCCACGCCAGCTTCTCCAGCGGGGCCATCGCCGCCCGAGCTTCGCCCAGGGCGATAATGCCGGCACACCTCCAACGCACCGCAAGCAAGTCGGTCCACGTGATGTCGGGGTCCAGCACATCCCCCGGCGCGGACGAGACAGGCACGAACGGCTTCAGCGTCCTGGCCTCGCCGCGCTTCACAACCTTCTCGATGGCGCCAGGCTGGCGGACGAGGGCATTGCCAGGTCGTAAGCCAACCTCCCACATGGCCTCCTGAGCCCGCGGGCCTAGGAGAGCGCCCACTGCCCCGTAGCTGAACACCTGAGGGCTGGCACAGGAGGCTGGTTAGAGCACCCCGCGTCCCCAACGTGGGCCCCGCGGGCCCCGATTTCCTTTCGCCTCTTCAGGCCCTGGCGGCTGCCCCATGCTCGTCGCCTACTACGTTTGACCAGTGTGAGCAGCAGGGCCCTGAGGTGGAGCCTAGTGCCGTAGGCCGTGCCCCCACCACCATCCTGTTTGTCAGAATGGCGTCGTTACCCCCTTTGCTGAGAGCCACTACCGGTGAAGGGAGTAGTTGACAGCGTTCGTTTCCTCCTCCCCTCGGTCGAGCCTCCCTCTTCTGTAGATGTTGTGGACGTCGCGGAGTATCCGCCTGATCTCGAGGAGATCAGAATTTTGTTAGGTGACTTCTTTGTGTCCTTGGGCAGCCTCGCCTCGGAGGAAACGGCCCCAGCGCCTGACGTTGCTGGTTTTGTGTCTCGGGGTTGCCGTATGAGCGACCCCGAAAAAGAAAGTTGTTTCGACTCTGACTCTGAGCCTGAGCCTGAGGAGAGTACAGTGCAAGATCGTGCTGCCACGGATGTGCTGTCTACGCCCCTCTTGGATGGTTTCGAGGATGCTGAGGCGGAACAGTCGGTGGCCGATCTTCTTCTCGGCTCGCCAGAGGAGCAGGCCGCGGCCTGGCCGGTGATCCAACCACTCTCCTCCCTCTTCCCCACCTCCGCCTCCCCCTGCTCCCCTCCCCCTTTCCTCTGATCAGCTGGCCAGGATCGCAACCAACCGTGCCCATGCCAGGGCAATCCGAGAGTCTCGGCGTGCTGCAGAGCACGCCAGAAGAGCCCCCTGGACGTCAGGAGGCACAGGCATCCTGCGCGGGTCCTTTTTCCAGCAGGAAGGTGTGCCTGCCTTTTTGTTCATAAGGTCTGGACGGTGGCGCAAGCGGTACACGCGCCGCCTGTCCCAGGCCCTGATGGTCGGAGTACAGTGAACCCCAAGCCCCGCGTTGAACAAAAACCTCCGCCACCTCCCCATCATCGCCCTCCTCCTCCTCCTCCTCCGCCTCCTCCTCCTCCTCCTCCTCCTCCTCCTCCTCCTCCTCCTCCTCCTCCTCCTCCTCCTCCCTCTTCCTCCTCCTCTGCCTCCTCCTCCTCCTCCTCGTTCCTCTCCTCGTCCTTTTCGTCCCCATCCCTCTCTCCCCTCCTTCTCCTCCATCTCCTCCTGAGATGCTGCTGCTCATCGATCTCCCCACCCCCCACCCCTTCTCCCCGCCGTCCCCCTCCTCCTCCCCCTTGCTCTCCCTCCCTCCTCGCCCCCTCGTCCTCCTCGACTCTACCAACTCCTCACCCTCCCCCTCCCCGCCCCCTGACCCTCCCGCTTCACCATCCGCCGAGGGTGTAGCGCAGTGGAAGGCAGGAGCAGCAGCACCACCTCCACCAGCGGGAGCAGGGGGCAAAGGCGGCTTGCGAGCGCGCGGCCGCCTGCCACTGCTCTGTGAGAGGCTACAGCGGGGCAGAACCAGACTCTCCGCACACGTCGCCGCCCACCCGAGGTGATGTCGACGACGACACAACGGCGGCGGCGCAAAAGGGGGCCTGCCGTGCCCGTCCGCCCGCAGCCGTCCCAGCCGCCGCCGGCCGTTGTACCAGACGATCGTGCCGCTCTGGCGCGCCTCGCCCTGCCGGGCTGGCCGTCGTCGTCGCCGCTGGTCTCCGACGGCAGCCTTCGTTCGCTGGTCGTCGGGTCCTCCCCCTGCGCCTCGAGGCCCCCTCGACTCATAGACCCGCACAAGCGCTCCTCCATATCTTCCTCCTCCTCCTCCTCCTCCACATCCACCTCCTCCTCCGCCTCCTCCTCCTCCTCCTCCTCCTCCTCCTCCTCCCCCTCATCATTCTCCCTGCTCCGCCATCAGTGCACAGGCGCAGGAGGAGAAGGGCAGAGGGAGAAGAAGACGAAGAAGACAAAGCAGAAGAAGAAGGGGACACCCCCTCTCTTAACCCCTCCTCTCCTCCCCCTTCCTGCTCCTTCTCCTGTTTTCCTCCCCCTCTCCCCCTTCCCCCCCCCTCCCACTGCCCCTCCCCCTCCCCTTCACCATCACTCTAAAAGTGCGCAACAATTTCAAGGATGGAGGGTAGGTGGGTTTCAAAATGCCACTCTTGCCATAGCGCAGCGTACATTCCCCTTACGAATGTGCAACGGCTTCAAGGATTGAAGGCGGATAGTTTTTGTTGATGGTGCTCTGGCCATTGTTCCGCTCACATGCTCCGTAAAGTGTGCAACAGCTTCAAGAATGGAGGGCGGTTCGTTTTGAAAATTTGACTCTCGACTCAGCGCCGCGCGCATTCGTCTTATAAGCAAGACCTTCAAAGATGGAGGGAGGCTCGTTTTCAAATTGCGACTCTCGCCATGGCGCCACGCACATTCGTCGCACAAGCTTGCGACAGTTGCTAGGATGAAGGACGATTCCTTTTCAAAATAGAGCTCTCGCCTAAGCGACGGAACACACACTTGTCTTAAAAGCTTGTAACAGTTCCAGGGGTGGAGGACGTTCCTTCTCAGATTGCTCTCGCTTGAGACGCCCTTGTTTTCAATGAACAGGAGTTTCAAATACAACGGTCAGGGCACGGCCAGGGCAGCTCCTTTCAACATGGGGCTATCGCATGATCTTCTCCAATGTTGGCGACCACGGGTGTAATCGGATGAGGCAGCCGTTCCTTTTCTGAACAGGGGTCTCGCTGGACACATCGCTAAACTTTGTGATCCTACCTTCTTGTTGCACTCCTTCTCACTCGCTCGGCGAGTGTACGACTGCTCCCTCTCAAGAGAAGGGGGCTCGAGCCTGAATGGCAGGCCCGTCGGGTTGCTCGTCTTTCAAGGGGGCGCTTCCTATTGAAATCCGATTGGCGAAGGACCCAACTACATGCAAGTGCGAGTACTGCACGACCGGTGGGACGAAGGAGGGGGGAGCTCCTTCTGGGGCCACGAAAGGTGTGCGGGATGTGCCAAAGGGCTGGGGGGCTCGCATGCGAACCCTGCCACAAGGGCCTTCGGTGGAGCTCCATATGGGGCCACGAAAAGTGAGAGAGGTATGCCTGAATGGGCTAGGGGACGCATGCAAAGACTGTCACAAGAGCCTTCGGTGGAGCTCCCTGCGGGGCCACGAAACGTGTGAGAGATGTGCCGAAGTGGGCGGGGGACGCCTGCGAACCCTGCCACAAGAGCCTTAAGTGGAGCTCCCTGAGGGGTCACGGAACGCGTGAGAGATGTGCCAAAAGAAAGAAAATTCACTCTACTTAACTTGCATGTTATTATCCTTATGAGTGTCTTCTCTATATATATATATATCCCTCTCTCTGCCTCTCGCCCTCTCTCTCTCTCTCTTGCGTTCTCTTTCTCCTTATCTCTCTCTCTCTCTCTTTCTGTCTGTTCCCCCTTTTTCTCTCTCTCTCTCTCTCTCTCTCTCTCTCCTCTCTCTCTCGCCCTCTCTCTCTCTCTTTCTCTCTCTCTCTCTCTCTCTTTCTCTCTCTCTCTCTCTCTCTCTCTATATATATATATATACATATGTATATGCATATATATGAATATGTATATATATATATACATATACATATATATATACATATATATATATATATAGTATACAGACACATACATATGTGTTGTTCCCTACCTAGGCTCTGCCTAGAAGGGTTCTTACACTCTTAGCTTAAAGGGGCCGGGCAGTGTAAAGCGCCCCGGGCGGTTCCCCCCGTCCCCTGGGAGCGGTTCCCCCCAGTCCCCTGGGAGCTTTAGCTTTAGCTTTAGCTTAGCTTTAGCTTAGCTTTAGCTTAGCTTTAGCTTAGCTTTAGCTTAGCTGTAGCTTAGCTTTAGCTTAGCGTTTCGCTCAGCTTTTCGCTTAGCGTTTAGCTTAGCTTTAGCTTAGCTTTAGCTTAGCTTTAGCTTAGCTTGAGCTTAGCTGTAGCTTAGCTTTAGCTTAGCTTTAGCTTAGCTTTAGCTTAGCTTTAGCTTATATTTAGCTTAGCTGTAGCTTAGCTTTAGCTTAGCTGTTGCTCAGCTTTAGCTTAGCTTTAGCTTCGCTTTAGCTTAGCTTTAGATTAGCTTTAGCTTAGTTTTAGCTTAGTTTTAGCTTAGCTTTAGCTTAGCTTTAGTTTAGCTGTGGCTTAGCTTTAGCTTAGCTTTAGCTTAGCTTTAGCTTAGCTTTAGCTTAGCTTTAGCTTAGCTTTAGCTTAGCGTTACTGTTACTACTAATGCTGCTTTCCTAGGGGTTCCAACTCCTAGGTAGGGTCGCACTGGGATAATATGTCTCTTATTTATGTCTGTGTCTCCCTTTCTCTCTATCTTTATTTCTCTCTCTGTCTCCTTCTCCTGCTATATATGTCTCTATCTCTTCTTTTCTCTTCTCTTCTCTTCTCTCTTGTATTATCTCCGTCTCTCTCTCTCTCTTTCGCTCTAGCTCTCTATCTCTCTCATTCCCTCTCTCTCTCTTGTTCTCTCTCGTTTAACATGCAACAATAGGAATTAATTTCTAAACGCACCACAACAGGGATCAATTGGTAAATCCGCCACAGAAGGAATCAGGGTGTAAATCCGCCGCATAAGGATTCAATGTGTAAATCCGCCACAGAAGGAATTAATATACTAAGTTCGGCAAAGGGGATCAATGTGTACATCCGCAACAAAAGGTATCAAGTTGTAAATCGGCCACAACAGGAAATAGTTAGTAGATCCACCACAACAGGAATCAGGCTACAACGCCACACAAGGCATACAGTCATGGAGACTGATTTGCTACCTAAAGTTTTGGCGGGGCGTGGCCGACGAAAGACTAATTTGTTAAGGCCACAGTGAGGCGTGGCTCGCTCTAGCTGCCTACTCATGTGACATCCGTTAAATCCGCCCGACCGACCGACCGACCGGCTGGCCGACCGAACGACCGGACAACAACCGACGGCGACGACCGACGAATGACAACGACGCCGACGACGACCGACCGACCGAACGAATGACCGAGCGACCCAGCAGCCGAGCGACCGAGCGACTGAAGACGACGACGACGACGACGACCAGGAACGACGACGACGACGACTACGACATCGTCGACAACGACGACCGACCGACCGACCGACCGACCGAGCGAGCGAGCGAGCGACACGACGACCGACCGACTGGCCGACCGAGCGATCGACGACAACGACAACATTGACGACGTCGACAGACGGCGACGACTGGCAACCGACAACGACGACGGCAACTACCACCGACCGACCGACCGACCGACCGACCGCCGACGACGACCGAACGACGAGGAGGACGACCGACGGCGACGACCGACGGACGACGATGACAGACCAACCGACCAACAGCGACGAACGACGACGACGACAACGAAAACAACGACGGACGGACCGACCGACAGACCGACGACGACCGACGACACCGACGGACGCCGTCGCAAAATTCTAGAAGGACAAACCTAGAAGGCCGACCGCGAACGGCCGAGGTCAAATTTTAGAACGCGTGGGCCGGGTAAAATTCTGGAAGGGAACGCTTCGAGGACGCGGCCACCCCCTTTTCCCCCTCTTCCCATCCCCGCAGACGGGGATTCCACTTTCAGTTTTATATATTATATATATATACATACATACATACATACATACATACATACATACATACATACATATCAGAGCGAGGGGGCCGAACGGTCATTCATTGTCCCTGGGTGCGTGGCTCTAGTGGGATCCGTGGTGAGGATTCTGCTTGTTTCGTTGTTGTTGCTGCTGTTGTTATTGTTGCTGTTGTTGTGCTGTTGTTGTTGTTGTTGGTGTTGGTGTTGTTGTTGATGGTGTTGTCGTTGGTGGTGTTGTTTGGTGTTGTTGCTGTTGTTGCTGTTGTTGTTGCTGCTGCTGTTGTTGTTGTTGCTGTTGTTGTTGTTGTTTGTTGTCGTCGTCCCCCCTGCGACCCACCCCGCGACCCCCCCCGCGACCCACCCCGCGACCCACCCCGCGACCCACCCGCGACCCACCCCGCGACCCACCCGCGACCCACCCGCGACCCATACGCGACCCACCCCGCGACCCACCTGCGACCCGGCCCGCGACCCGGCCCGCGACCCACCCGCGACCCACCCGCGACCCACCCCGCGACTCACCCACATTGTTTTAAAGAAAAAATCGACGCTTGCGGCGGGCTCAATGCATAAATTGTAAAAAGTTAGGCAGTTAGGCGCCTGCGGCGGGCTTCTTCAGAGCCTCGCAGACTGACGACGTCTTCGCCACCCCATCACTCTTATCTGCACCTGCGGTGTGCTACGGGATAGATCTCTCTCTGAGGGAGGGGCGGTTGCAGGCGAATGTACCACCTCGAGCTCCGAATCCTGCAAAAGCCTGTGGTTTTGAGACCACCCGCTGGGGCCGAATGAACCCGATTGAACCCGAATGAACGACGAATGAACCCACGAATGATCCAAGATGCACCCCCGACTGAACACTCCCCAGCGCCCCAGACGGACCCCGACTCAACCTCCCAGACGTCGTCGTCGTCGTTAGTCGGCCGTCGCCGAGGTTCGCCGAGATCGCTAGTCATCATTCGTCGGTCGCCGTCATGAGTCGGTCCGACGGTCGTCGTCATCGTCGTCGTCATCGTCGTCGTTAAAATTGCACTACCAAAAATAATCATTTGGCTGTAGTATGACGGCGGCTTGCATGCTAGGGCGTGGGTTTGTGCGCGAGTGGAAGCAAAAAGAACCGAGGTGCATGCGCCAACTGTCGAAGGTACACTGAACATGTCTTGCAACTAAAATCCCTGTGAATGGCGCCCCTGCTAGAGAACCCACTGCAACGCTCCGATATTCTGATGGAACTGCAGTTGAACCCTGATGGAATGCTACCAGCGTGTGCACGCATGCTGGTGTGTGGGCGTGCGTCTATGCATGTGTATGTGTTGCTTTGTGCATGTGCTCACGTCTGCGCGCCGGTGTGTGAACGTATGATGTACGCTGCATCGCCAGTGCAGTGGCTCTGCCTGGCCGCCGACGCAAAAAGTGTGCAAGTGTATGCGCCTGGTTCGATGAGCGATTGCACATTTGTAAATTTATTGACTACCTACCAGACCACCCCAACCCAACCCGAAGACCCGAATTTGAATCGAATTTCGGGTTGGGGGGGGTACGGGTTCTATGTGTTTTTTCGATGTTTCCCGCCCCCCCCCCCACTGGAAATCGATGGTAAATCTGGGCCTTCGGGTTGGGTTGGGGTGGTTTGGTGGGTGGTGATTTATTTGGTAGCAGCTGGTTGCACATGCAGAACAATCCAAGTCACAGAAAGTGAGCCATATCCCCCTCGGGGTGCGCCGACATGGGCGGGGGACGCATGCGAATCCACGAAGCGTGCAAGGGGTGTGCCGAAATGGGCTGGGGGACGCATGCGAACCCTGCCATTGGGGCCGTCGGTGGAGCTCCCCATAGGGGCCACGCAACGTGTGAGGGGTGTGCCAAAATTGGCCGGGGAGCGCATGCGAACCCTGCCTCTGGGGCCGTCGGTGGAGCTCCCCAGGGGGCCACGCACCGTGTGAGGGGTGTGCCGAAATAGGCCGGGGAGCGCATGCGAACCCTGCCTCTGGGGCCGTCGGTGGAGCTCCCCGTGGGGCCACGAAGCGTGTGAGGGGTGTGCCGCAGTGGGCCCAGGGACGCCATACGAGCCATGCCACGAGAGCCTTCGGCAGAGCTCCCTGCGGCGTCACGAAGATTTCGAGGGGTGCGCCGACGTCGGCGGGGGGCGCATGCGAAACATGGCACAAGAGCCTTCAGTGGAGCTCTCTGTGGGGCCACGAAGGTGTGAGGGAGGTGCCAAAATGGACATAGGGAAGGCAGAGGCAGGGGTGGGAGGAGGGAGGAGAGGAAGGAGATGAGGAGAAGGAGGTGGGGTGAGGCGTTGCGGATTCAAATCGAGGACCCGAATCAACACTCAACACAGACGGTTGGGAAAAAGGGAGGCTTGCAGGGACTTGAAAGAGCGGGACTGGCAACGGGGAGGTGTATTGCAGCAGACGCGTCCTGGGTTTACTCTGGCCCCCCTCCTCCCCGTCCGCTCAGCGGGACGGCAGGGTGGGGCAGGGGCAGATGTGAAGGTTTAGGAAAAAATGTAGATAACCCCTGGAAGACGGACCTTGGGATAATTCCCTTTTACATCTCCCAGATCTCCTCCTCACAATCCTGAGGAGGAACGGCAGGGGGGGATTGGCTCAGAGGGGGAAACATCGAGGTTGAATCCAATGGGCGATTGAAGGGCGATGCGACCCCCACTGAGCCTATCCCCTTCTGACGTTTCCCTGGCTTTCGGGACGGCGGTCGTTCGGGGGGATCCCCTGGAAGTCTCTCGGCGAGGCGCAGCTGCTGGAGGGCATCCCGAGGCTGAAAAACTGAAGACGCCCGAAGACCTCGAACCTCGCACCCCCTGAGAGCCCGTCTCCCCCTCCCCCCCGCCTGGGTGGCATCCGGCGCGCCGTCGACGCGCGGCCGCTTCAGGTCGGGCCCCGCGGCGAACGCCTGCGGCGCCGCGTGTTGCAGCGGGCCTTGCGGAAGGGAATGGGCCCAGCTCGACGAACACTGCGGCGGCGGCAGCGGCAGCGGCGATGGCGACGGCGACGGCAATGTCGACGCCCCGACGGCGACGGCCACGCCGACGCCGACGGAAACGCCGACGCCGACGCCGACGCCGACTCCGACTCCGACGCCGACGCCGACGCCGACGCCGACGGCGACGGCGAGGGAGAAGACGGCGAGGGAGACGACGACGAGGGAAACGACGGCGACGACGACGACGACGACGACGACGACCACGACCACGACGACGACGACGACGACGACAACGACGACCACCACCACGACGACGACGACGACGACGACGCCGACGACGACGACGACGGCGGCTGCGGCGGCGGCGGCGGCGACGACGACGGCGACGACGGCGGCGACAGCCGCGACGACGACGACGACGGCGACTGCGAGGGCAACGACGACGACGACCACCACCACCACGACGACGACGACGACGAAGACGGCGACGGCGACGGCGACAGCGACGGCGGGGGCGAGGGCGACGGCGACGGCGAACGAAAGAGATGACGGCGCCGGCCACGACCGTCTCGTGAGCCGAGGCCCTGTGCAGGGGAGTCGGCGGAAACGTCAGTCGAAGCCAGCACTAAGTAGACTTCGACACACACACACCCTCCCCTTCTTCTTAGCCTTCTTCTTCCTCCTCCTCCTCATCCTCATCCTCATCCTCATCCTCATCATCCCCCCTTGTGACCCTTATGCCCCTCCTGGCCTCCCCTCCCGCCGCCCGGCGCCCGGCGCCGCCTGCGGCACCGCCAGGCGGCGGCGGCGGCGGCGGCGGCCGCGGCACCGTCGTCGTCCCCAGCGTGCACGCGTGCGCCGCGGCCGGTGGCGCCGCCGCCCGCGGCACCGACGTGGTCCCCGGCAAGGCGTGCGCCGCGGCCGGCGGCAGGGGCGGCGGGGGCACGTGTACGGCTACGGCGGCTGCGCCTTCGGCGGGACGCCAGCTGTCCCCAGACCTCCCTCACCGCGGAAAACTATATGCAAGTATAAGTGCCGCAAGGCAGGTGGGACGAAGGAACGAAACGTGTGAGGGGTGCGCCGAGAGGGGCTGGGGGCCGCATGCGAAACCTGCCACAGGAGTCCTCGGTGGAGCTCCCTGTGGGCCACGCAACGTGTGAGGGGTGTGCGGAAACGGGCTGGGAGACGCATGCGAACCCTGCCACTGGACTGAGACCTTCGGTGGAACTCCCCATGGAGCCACGAAACATGTGAGGGCTGTGCCGAAATGGGCGGGGGGGCGCATGCGAACCCTGCCATTAGGGCCTTCGGTGGAACTCCCTGTGGGGCCGCGAAACATGTGAGGGGTGTGCCGACATGGGCTCGGGGACGCATGCGAACACTGCCAATGGGGCCTTCGGTGGAGCTCCCTATGGGGCCGCAAAACATCTTCCATACGATAGTATGGGGCCACGAAACGTGTGAGGGGTGTGCCGACATAGGCTCGGGGACGCATGCGAATCCTGCCAGTGGACTGGGGCCTTCGGTTGAGCTCCCCATGGGGCCACAAAACATGAGGGATGTGCAGAGATGGGCTGGGGAACGCATGCGAAACCTGCCACTGGGCCTTCGGTGGAGCTTCTTACGGTGCCAAATGGGGCCTTCGGTGGAGCTCCCTTATGCTAGGGCCACGAAACGTGTGAAGGGTGTGCCGAACTGGGCTGGGGGAAGCATGCGAAGACTGCCCTAGAGCCTTCGGTGGAGCTCCCTATGGGGCCACGAAACGTGTCAGAGGTGTGCCGAAATAGGCTGGGAAACGCATGCGAACCCTAATTACCACTGGTGCCTTCGGTGGAGCTTCCCACGGGGCCGCTACACATAAGAGCGACCCCAGTCAAGAGTGACCTTTGGTGCGCTTGACGAGGGGGGGACCCCACTGGGCCCGCACCAAAGGCCACTCCGGCGAAAGGCCATTCTCACATCAGGTCGATCTGTGAGGGCCCCGCGGCCCGAAACCGGGGGAGAGCGCCCGGCACGACAAGAGTGCAACGCCCAGGCTTCGAGGGCACTCCCTGGTCGAGGCCAGGCGCCCACCCACATCGCCATGGCTTCGAACCGGGCATGCTCGCACGGCTTGGAGCCCCGGGACCCTCGCGGATCGACTCGTGTCGAGAAGTGCAGCAGAAACATGGGCAGTGGGGCTCAGGTCGCGATTTTGCGCGATGCCGCCATTTTTCTCCAACCTCGGAGCTCGAGGATCGTCGGAGATCTGGGCGTGCACAGCTGAGCGACGAACAAAACGAGCGGGTCTTGCGCCAGATGACGCGGCGACCTCACGCAGAGTAGCTCGCGCGGGCCGCCCGAGCGGCACGCCACGTTGGAGACGAGGGCGCCTACCCGCGACCTCTCACGCGGGCAGCTCGCGCGACACTGCCACTGTCGACGGCCCCGTTCTGCTGCGCCGCTCACTTGGCGCCCTCCGCTGCCTGGGGGCCGCAGCAGCGGCGGGGCGGCGCCAGGCGGGGGCAGCATGGGCGGAGGCTGCGCCGGCGGGGGCTGGGCGACGAGCTGGGGCGCGGCGGCCGCCTGCGCCGCCAGCTGCCGCGCCAGCTCGGCCTCCTCCCTCGCCTTCTGCTCCTCCTGGTCGGGGGGGCGCCAGCTCTTCGCCGGGAGGTCTGGTGCCCGTTCCACGGCAGCCCACGTGGCTCCCGGCGCTGTCCAATCTGGGCCCGAGGTTGACTGGAAATGGAAAAAACGTTTGGGACCGGATGGGGACCAGACCTGGACCGGGTTCGCACCTTCACACGGGCGACGAGACGAACGAGGAGGGGGAGGAGGAACAGGAAGGGCGAGGAGGAGCAGGAAAGAGGGCCGAATGCGGTCCAAATGCGGTCCAAATGCGGGCAAAGTCGATTTCAATGTCAGCGCCCAAAGCTCCAATGAAAAGACATCGAAGGAAGGCAACTCCTGGGAGGTCTTCGCAAGAACGAGTGAGGACTCTCAAGCCCAATGAATGTGCCATTCAGACGGAATAGCCGAGATAAAACTGAACTCAGCCGGATGTGTCAAAAATTAATAGGATCATGTTGGATTGGGTCAGTATTCGACCATGAGCCTCTACGTATATACACAGATTACGATATTGATATACCTATATATATACTTGTATATACGTTTATGAATTTATATACCTATATACATATGTATATACATACATACATGCATACATATATATACACACATATACATACATACATACATACATACATACATACATACATACATACATACATACATACATACATACATACATACATACATACATACATACATACATACATGCATGCATGCATGCATGCATGCATGCATGCATACATACATACATACATGCATATATACATACACACATACATACATACATACATACATACATACATACATACATACATACACACATACACACATACATACATACATACATACATACATGCATACATACGTACATACGTACATACGTACATACGTACATACGTACATACGTACATACATACGTACATACATAAGTACATACAAATATGCATACATACATACATACATGCATACATGCATGCATACATGCATGCATACATACATACAGACACGCACACATATACATACATACATGAATATATGCATACATACATACATACATACATACATACAGAACATAACAGAACATAACATAGCATAACATAGCATAACATAACATAGCATAGCATAGCATAGCATGGCATAGCATAGCACAACATAGCATAACATAACATTACAAAACATAATATAACGGATCATAGCATAACATAACATCACATAACACAACATAACATACATATGTACATATATATGTATACACTCATATACAAATACACATGCACATATATCTGATTATCGATTTGCAAGGGCTGACTGTGCACTGCGGGTTTTGCGGGATCGACGGGCGGCGGACGCCTTGAGTCATCATGGAACGTTTGCCCCACGACGCGACAAGTCACCTACCAGCAAGCACTGCCGTGGTGCACGAAGGGGCAACCTCTGCGGCCTCCCTCGGCGCACCTGGCGAGTCCTAGTCTGACCGCTGGAAGCGCACCACATTTAAGCGAAGCCCTGCGATCCACTGGCATTTATAGCTGCATCAAGAAATAAGGACACGTACCAAAATGCGTTCACGGAGGCAGGCGGACCACCCCAAACAGCTCGAGCGCTGTTAGCGGCCAGTTGCCCCGAACAGCTCGAGCTATATATATATACACACACATACATACATACATACATACATACATGCATGCATGCATACATACATACATACATACATACATACATATACAAATAAACACACACACCGATGTTTGGATTGCTCCAGGCTGAAGTTTCAAGATGATGCGTGCATGGGCTTGCCGACTCACTCGGCAAATTATTGTTCCATTGGCCGTTTTAGCAGGCGCCACACCTACATGATGGCCGCGGCCTGCTCTGTGGGCCTCTCAGCGGAAACGCTGGTCTTCAACATCTAGGCGAGAGACGTCGACCTCAGACATGGGCGGCGCGACGTTGGAAATAGTCCACTCGCGACAGCGAGGCCGTCGGGAATCAGAAACGTGCGCAAGAAGGCGAAGTCTCTGGACGAAATCAGCGCCGCAGTAGGGGCGCACAGTGGAACTGATGAACTCTTCGCCGCGCTTGGCATGGCGATGGTGAGAGCCAGATGCGAGGGGAAAGACAAGGCGCATGTAGCGCACACCTAAGTCAAACCCTGGGCATGGGGGTGGAAGTGCGCTTCACGGTCGCACGTCCAGGTCAAAACCTGAATATGTATATATATATACATACAAATATACATATATACAAATATACATATACACATACATATACATATGCATATACAGATACATATACATATACATATACATGTATATATACGTATGCATATACATATACATATATATATGCATGTATACAAGATTGTACTGGCGTTTCACGCCATGCGCTTTGTCCCGGACCCTCCCCGGCAAAGCACTAATTCATCGTTCGCTTCAGCGGGGGGGACCTCGAAGCCTGAACGGGCGACCGGCTCATTTTTCTGATATCCCTGGTGCCTGCTGACACCGCGTTCGCTCGATGCGTTTGCACGCTTGTGCGCAGGAGTGGGGAAGGAATAATATTTTTTCGCGTGCGAAGGTTCTTTGAGGAAGTAAGGAACGTTCCCATGACACGCCGAAGAAGTCGCAGGAGCTCCGAACATATCGATTTGTGGTAGCTTCCTGAATGCCTGAAGGGCCCCAGGCACTCAGGAAATCTTCGATCGTCGAACTTCGAATCTAGGTCCATTGCCTGTCTCTCTCGATCGAGGAACTTCAACCTCGAGCCTCAAGCGTGGAACAAAAATCGTCGGATCAACTCGATGTACTTACTTCGTAGGAAAACGCCGACTGGGCGTTTTTGGAGCTCTTTTGGGCCGTCCTGGGGCCCTCTTGGGCCGTCCCGGGGCCTTCTTGGGCCGTCTTGGGGAGCTGGGGCCCTCCATAAGTCTTCTGAAACCATCTAGGGCCCTCTTGGGGGCCTCCAGTGGCCTTCTTGGGGGTCTCCCATGGCTTTCGTGGGCCTCTCTTGGGAGCCTTCTGGGGGCAACTTGGGCTTCTTGCGGGCAGTCTCGGGGCTCTCGGGGGCAGTCGTGGAGCCATCGTGGGCCGTCTTCAAACCCTCTGGGGGACATCTTGGGCCGTCTTGGGGCGATATCGGGGGACCATCGGGCCGTCTTGGACGCTGCGAAGTCCTAAACAGCGGATATGTTAAACTTATACCTTTTTTCCCGAGGGAATGAGCGATTCTTGCTTCTTCGGGGCTCTCTTGACAGTCTCGTGGGGCGTCTTGGAGGCCTTTTGGGCCGTCTTCAGACCATCGAGGTTCCTCTTGGAGCGCTCCTGTGCTGTCTTGGGTCTCTCTTGCGCCTCTCCGATGACCCCTCTGATCGCCTTGAGTCTGCTCGCAAGGCGCCCTGGGAGGCCCGGAAGGGCCAGCGGACCTTTTCCAAGGGCGTCCAGGGGACCGCTGAGACGTCCGCAAGGGCGTCCAGGGTGTCCCTGGGGGGGGTCCAGTTAAGGGGGGGGGTCCGGGTAATGAAAATATAAGAGTAGGAATCTATATATATACATATATACATCCAGGATTTAACGTGCTCCACGCCCCTGGAGCAGGGCAAGCAGGGAGGAAGAAGGAGGAGGAAGATGAGAAGGAGGAGTGAAGGCTGAGGGGTGAGCGGCGAGGAGATCCAGACTGGATGAGCCTGGGAAGCTTTCGTCCCACTCCTCTTCCTCACTCCTTTTCCTCCTCTTCCTCCTCCTCGGGAGAAGCAGAACTCATCCTGCTCCACCGCGGAAGAGGAGGAGAAGGACGGAGCGGAGGAGGGAGCGGAATGGAGGATCAGTGAAATGGAGGAAGAGTAGAATGGAGGAGGAGTGGATGGAGGTAAAGGAAGAAAATGAGGGGAACAACAAAAACAAGGAAACCAAACACCGACGGCTTACCCCCCCCCACGAAAAAAACAGAAAACCACAAAAAAAAACAAAAAAAACTTACTCCACCGTTGCACTGCTCCACCGCCCCCTCCCTGCTCGTTGCACCCACCCTTTCCTCCCGTCCCCCCACCTGTCACCCCTCCTCCTCCTCCCCCTCCCTCCGCCTCATCCTCCTCCCTCCTCCTTGCGCCGCACGCCCCACACTTCCTCCTTAGGAGGGGGGGGGAGGAGGCAGGAGGGAGGAGGGCGCAGGAGGGAGGAGGAAAGGCGAGGACGAGGAGGGGGGAGCGAGGGGGGAGGACGTGGAGGAGGAAGCGGGGGAGGAGGAGGAGTGAGGAGTGAGGGGGGAGGAATGGAATGGAGGAGGAGTGGATGGAGGCATTGAACGGAAAAAATGTTTTATATACATATATTAAACATGAAGAAGCAGGAAACCCAGAAAAACATAGGAATCACAAACAAAGATCTCAATACTCACTTCACCGTTCCACTGTTCCACCGCCCTCTTTCTCATCGTCCCTTTCCTTCCACACCCCCCCCACCTTTTAATCCTCCTCCTCCTCCTCCCTGCCTCCCTCCCTCCCTCCGCCTCCTCCTCCTCGCGCCGCACGCCTCATTCCTCCTCCGCCTCCTCCTCGTCCTCCTCGCCGCTCCTCCTCCATCCTGCGCCGTCCTCCATCCTCCTTCCTGCCTCCTCCTCGTCCTCCTCATATTCCTCCCTCCCCGTCCCCCCACCTCCTCCCCTCCTCGCCTTCCCTCCTCCTCCTCCTCCTCCTCCTCCTCCTCCTCCTCCTCCTCCTCATCCTCCTCCTCCTCCTCCGCCTCCTCCTCCTCCTACCACCCCTTGCCGAGGGCTCGTTTTCATTGTTATGCATCACTGTCATCTGCTTCACAGTCGTCGGGCGCTTCACTGTTTCTGCTTCACAGTCGTGATGCGCTTCGTTTTTCATGCGTCACAGTCATGATGCCGTCCGTTTCTCTGCCCCGCGCCATCGCAACCTGGAGGGTTTTTTGATACGTACGGGCTGGCACTCCACCACGAATGGGCCCAATGGCGATCCCGCTGCTTCTGTCTACGCGTCGTACAGATGCACGGCATCTGACCTGACCTGACCTGGCCGAGGCCAGGGAGGCACAGACGCTGGCAGGTCTGCGCTGGATCGGATCGCAAGATCGGACCAGATCGAGAGCGGATCGAATCGCCAGCGAATCGTCCCGAATCCTATCGGCATCGAATCGCCGCGCCACGCTTCTGGCTGGCACGGGCCGATGCCGGGGAATAGAGCCGGGTCGCATCGAATCGGAAGCGCGGCCCCAGCCGGCGCATCGAATCGCATCGAGTCGGACGGTAGGCGGCCCTGGCTGGCCCCCCGGGGCCCAGCATGGGCCGGGCCAGGGCCAGTGCACCCGTGCAGCAGGCCCTCGCCGCCGAGATCCCCCGACCTCCGACGTCGGGGCCTTCTCACATCTTCGAGGCCTTGACACCGCAGGGATCGTTCAACCTTGAACGATCGGCCGCTGCCGCAACGTCCGATCGTTCAACATCGATCGATTCTGGGTCGCTGGCGGCGTTCAACCTTGAACGTCCGCGCTGCGCTGGGGTCGCCGCCGGTCGACACGACGCAAACCTACCGTACTGTATGTCCTCCTTGGAGGCGCGCGTCCGACCCGGACATGTAGTACACCCATCTGGTGGTGCATCGTTTCCCGAGCGCCGTGGCCAGGAAGCGCCCGCCACGACGCACGCACTGCAAGATCTATCGGTGCGCGCGTCGCCCCTGGGGGGGCGACGCTGGGGGAAGAAGAAGTGGCATAGACAGAAGAACCCGCCGGGGGGCCCCAGCGCCGATCCGAGAAACCCGCGCGGACCTCCGAGTTCTTATGTTTATGCCACTTTCTGTCCCCCCTAGACGCACACACACACACAGCGTTAGCATCGGCTGGGGTGACGCCGAGCGGGAGCGCCGGGCCCTTCCCTGGGGGCTGGGTGGCGGGCGCCCTCGGAGGCCGACGGCGGCCGGAGGCGTGCCCGCCGTGGCCCGGAATGAGACGGAGGCCGCATCGAGACAGAGTCGCGCCGACGCACCTCGAGAGAATCTCTGGGAATCGGCGGGCTCGGAGGGTCGTATCGTCGGGTGTTGCTAGAAGTGCCCCTGGCCCAAGGTGCCCCCAGCTTTTCGCTCCATGTCTGATGCCCTGGGGCCCTCTAGGCCTCGTGAGGGGTGCCCTGGAGGCCCTCTAGACCACCCCGAGAATCCTGGGGATACCTTGGGCCAGGCGTACTTCTAGCAACACCCGATATCGGGCGCCGCGGCCGTGTCGGAGCGTGCCGGAACGCTCTGAGAGCGTTCCGGGAGGCTCTGGAACGAGTGCACCGCGATGCCAGAGCCGTCCGAGTGATTCATGCTCCCCCGAAATCCGACGTCCCAGAGAGAGCACGCCATCGCCGACATCGCGAGGAACCACGGCCAGAGCCCGGAATCAGTCCTTCTGCGGCAACAGTCCAGCCGCATCGATCTGTGGTGTCCCAGGGGCCCGAAGCCCAGCGCAAATGCCAGCCGTGCGGAAAAAGACGGCAGGATCGCAGGGCCACAGCTCAAGGATCGGCGGCGAGCCCGGGGGGGGGGAGAGAAAAGGGGCGGGCCTTTTCAAAGGCTCGGAAGTTCTCCGGCCTTCTGAGAAGGTAAGACTTCGCCGAAGACACGGAAATCTTCTCAGAGGGCGCGAGGGCTTCTGAGAAAATCCGCCGCCTTCTGAGAAGGTCTTTTCCTTCTCGTTTCCCCCCCTCCCTCGCCGCCGATAGGAGGCGGGGAGTCCTGCTCCTTCTTCCGCTTCTCCGCCTCCAGGGCCAGCTCGTACTCGGCCTCGCGTTGCGCCATCTGCTCCGCCTCCCGCTTCTGCCGCTCCTCCTCCTCCTCCGCCCTGCGCAGCTCCTCGCGGCGCCGTTGCCGGGCGGCCTCGCGCTCCTGGAGGAAGAGGAGGCAGCACGAGCATCGACTCTCGGGGGTCCGCGCGGACCTCCGAGAGCTTGTGCTGAGGCTGGCTTCTCTTCCTCGAGCTCCTCCCTCTCGCGGCGCTCCTCCTCCTCCTTCCACTTCTGCACGTCCTCCAGGGTCACCTCGTCGTCGCTGTCGTCCCCGCCGCCGTCCTCCTGCCAGGCCTTCTTCCTCTCTCTGGCCTCCCTCGCCCACTCCGCCCGCACGCTCGCGCGGCGGATCACCGCGGGCTCCGCGGCCTTCCTGCCCTCGCCCTGCTCGGGCTTCGCGTCGCATGCCCCCTCCTCGGCCTCCCCGAGGGGCTCCTCCTCGTTCCAGAGGACCGGGTGCTGCCAGAAGTGGTCCTGGCCCAGGGCGTGCTCCAGGCTCCTCGCGCCACTGCGGGGGGCCTCTGCGGGGGCCCCTGGGCCGCGTGGTGGGGTGCTCCAGAAGCCACCTGCGTGCCTCCCTGGGAAGCCCTGAGATCCGACGTTGCGGGAAAAAATGCAGCACCGCAGGAGACCACGACGGGAGCCCCAGGCCCTACCTTTCTGCGCCACTCCCCGAGCCAGAACGATCTGTGAGGGCCTCCGTGCCCGAACCTGCGCGAGCACGCCCAGCTCGAAAAGAACCGAGACGCCAGGATCTCAGGGAAGCTGGGGCCACCTCGGGCCCGGGGCCAGGGCCACGCCTGGCCAGCGCCCGAGATAGGGCCGTTGTCGGCGGCCTCCTCCCTGGCGTGCGCCCACAGGTCCTCCTCGAGCTTCCCCTCGCGCTGCTCCTCCTGCCGCTGCCGCTGCTCCTCCTGCCGCTGGGCGGCCTCCTCCTCCTCCTGCCGCCTCCGCGCCTCCTCCTCGGCCCGCTGCTGCGTGCGCCGCTCCCGCGCCCGGAGCAGCACCTCCTGCCGCGCCGCCTCCTCGGCCTCCTCCTCCTCCTCGGCCCGCCTCCGCGCCTCCCCCTCGGCCGCCCGGCGCCTGGCCTCCTCCTCCTCCGCCCGCGGCTGCTGCTCCGCCGCGGCCTCCTCGCCCCCCCCGCCGCCCCGCGGCGGGCCCTCCTCTCGGGGACGGTCAGAAGCCCCTGCAGCAAACCGCGGCTTCTTAGCGAGAACGACCTCGGGCCCAAACCTGGCGGGCGCAGGCCTGGGAGAGGACGGCCGCGGCGCCCCCTCGAGGATCGACAACGGACAGGTCACCAATCGACGTGTCAGGGTGGGGGTTCTGTCTGCCCCCGATCCTCTCGGGAGGGCGCCAGCTAAAAACAAAAAACAAAAACGAGCCTGGCCAAGCTCGGCGCGGGCCCAGGGATCGCTGCGTGCGCCCACCCGGCTTGGGCAGGCTAGCGCGTGCTGCACCGATTCTGGGCCCACGATCGGCCTGGCCAGGATCGGTGCAGGTGTAGAGTTGGTGCGCTGCGACCTGATGGGGCGCGAAAAAGGTACCGATGCCGCTAGAATGCTCCAGGGGGCGCGCACAAGGGGGGGGCGCCGAGGGGTGGGCTCCGAGAAGGTGGAGGGCTTATTGAAAGGCAGGACCCTTCTTCGAAGGGCCCTCAAAAAGGCTTCTTAGAAACTGGGAGGGCTTATGAGAAGCCACCTGAGCCACGAAAAGAAACGGGTCTTACGCGAGACGGCATGGTGACCTTATGCAGCGGCTCACGCGAGCCGCTAGCGCTGCACGCTGAATTGGCAACGAGGCGCCCACGTGCGACCTTACGCGGGCAGCTCACGCGCCAGTGTCGCCGCAGACGACCCCAGAAGGAGGCTGCTTCTTAGAAGGCGCCAGCCCCACATCTACAGACAAGGCCCGCGCCTTCCAAGAAGCAGGGGTGCTTCTGAGAAGCCTTCCCCCCTCCCCCCGCCCCCCTCTGCGCGTGGCCGACAGACGACCCCGTTGTCTCTCGTCGCTGGGACCTGCCTTCGCAGAAGCCCCCCGCCCGCTCGAAAGGCCCCCCGCCCTCCCCCCCCCGCGCCACCCCGGCGCGCGCGTGCCGCCAGCCCTCCCCCGGGGCCTCTCACTGGAGCGCGCCCTGCCCAGGGCCACCTCGAGGAGCATCCGGCGATGGCGACGAGGGCTCCCCGGGACGCGACTGCCCACCAGGCCACCCCAACCCAACAACGAAGACACAAATTTGGGGGTTGGGGGGAGTACGGGTTCCATGTGCGTGTGTATTTTTCCATGCCCCTCGCTCCGTCCACCCCTCTTTCGGCCGCGCCCTCCCCCCCGTTCCTCCTTTTGCACGGTGGCACAATCTGCTCTTACGGCATGCCCGTTTAGGCCTGATCCATCGCCAGCGCAGACGTCCCCTGCCTAATTAGCCGTCGACGCTAAAAGTTGTTCCATGTTCCCCGACGCCCCCCCCACTGGGAAAGGGGGGCAGATTGGAGCCTTCGGATTGGGGGTTGGGGCAGTGCGGGGGGTGGTGAAGGACGAGCAGCGGCATCGGCACCTTCTCCTTCTCGGCTCCTCCGGGAAGGACGAAAACAGGGACCACGACCAAGACTGAGCGCGGAAACGTCATGTCGATCCTGGTCACCGTCGATCTTGGTCAGCGCCAATTCCTGGGCCATGCTCGCGAAGCGGCGACGGCCGACATGGACCATGACCAAGATCGGCATCGACAAGCACCCGCGACAGCTTCTGGTCATGGTCCCCGTGTCTCTCCCCTCGATCCCCAGACCTCTCACGGGGTGCGTTCTGGCCAGCAGCTCGAGGCGGATCTGGCCGTTGGCGACGTGAGCCTCCCACCGGGCCCAGCAACGGCGGAAGCAAGGCAAGGGCAAGGGCAACGACGAGATCACGCGACAGCTTTTGGTCATGGCCCCCGTGTTTCTTCCCAGACCCCCGACGTCGTGATTTTTTCACAACGTCGACCCCCAGAGGTCTGGACCCCTTCCCCGGGACCGGTTTTGCATCCTGAGTCGTTTTTTGACGGTCCCGAGGCCCGGTAAGGGCCCCCGGAGGCCGAAAATAGCGAAAAACCTCTCGTGGTGACTTTTTCACAGCGCGAGGAGGTCTGGGTTCCCTCGATCTCCTCGGCCGCACCCCCCGCCGGCACGGCCGGCCGCCCCGCCGACGCCGCCGCGGCGCCCCGGGGCGCCGCGGCGGCCGGCGCCGGCGCGGAGGTGGCCTGGCTGCCGCCGCGCGGCGAGGGCGCGGAGGCCGCGGCGGCCGCGCGCCGGGGGCGCGCGCCGGGCTCCGCCGGCCGCTCCACCTCTCGACGAGCCGCTTTCCACTACAGTGCCGTTTTTAATGCATGCTCCGCGTGCGGATCATGTCTTAAAAGTGCAGGGATTTAGTCTCAAAAACAACGATGAGTTCATGCGTAAATTCATTCATACATTGATCATGCATTAAAAATCCTACGTCTCCAAAAAAAGCCTATGTATCAAAAACTGCACTGTACTCGCAAGGTACCTACTCGCAAATGGCCTGGATCCCCCTCGGGAGATGTACGAGAAATTACATCAAAGCAGACAGGTGTTTTTCGGACGTTTGCGAGTAGGCACTCTGCGAGTAGTGGAACGCGCTCGGCGAACCTCTGAGGCGCGGGAGACGAGCAGAGCCCCAGGCAGGATCGCATCGTAGAACATTAAATCGGGGCGGGAGGTTTGTGGCCGTTTTCGGCCTCGGGGGGCCCCTGCCGGGCCTCGGGGTCGTCAAGAAACAACTCGGCACGAAGATCTGGTGCTGGGGAACGGGGTCGGGACTTCCAGCGACCCCGTACTGAAAAAATCAGGACGTCGCATGTCTGGGGCCGTATCCGCGGCAGCGCGGGCCGGGCCCCTGGGCCGCGACACCCCGCGAAGTTGCGGGGCGCTTTTTGTTCGCGGCTGCCCCGCGCGCTGCGTAGCCGTGCGACCGCGTGTGCGCAGGATCGCGGCCCAGACTCCAGGCCGCCAAGGCGTGGAGATGGATGCGTTCGCCGCTCGTGCTTCAAGGGAGGGTACAGCCATCGTGCTACCACGAGGACCCTCAAATCCGGGCGTGGCACCTTCTTTCTCACAGCGGGGGTCTCTCGCCTGGCTTCGGGCCCCGGGGCGATCACAAATCGACCTGGCTCCTCGAAAAATGCTCCCGAGGCATGGGACTCGGGGCTCTGGTCGTGATACTTCACGACGCTGCAGCTTTCTGCTGCGTCGATCTCGGGGGAACGCAGGGAACGCCAGGGGCGCTCGTCCGGCCACGGCGAGCCCCAGCCACGAAGGGCTTCCCCGACCCAGATCTTCGGAGCGGCTCGAGCACCCGAGCCCCTTCCGAGCCCCGAGCGGGCCTCACTTCCGCGTCTCGGCCGTGGGGCACGAAAAAAGGGGAGCGTCGGCTTCTTCCGAGGTGTGGCTGCCTCGGTGCGGCCCGTCGGAGGAGCGAGGCATCGGCCTCGAGCCAGGGGCCCAGGGACGGGGTTTCAGCTCTGGGCGGCCCCCGAAGGAGGGCGGCAGATCGGCCTCGAGCCATGCTCGCTCCCTATAAGCCTATTCCTATTCTTAACACTGCTACTATACTACTACTACTACTACTACTACTACTACCACCACCACCACTACTACTACTACTACTACTACTACTACTGCTGCTGCTGCTGCTACTACTACTACTACTACTACTACTACTACTACTACTACGACTACTACTACTATTACTACTACTACTACTACTACTATTACTACTACTACTACTACTACTACTACTGCTACTACTACTACTACTACTACTACTACTACTACTACTACTACTACTACTACTACTACTACTACTACGACTACGACTACTACTACTACTAGGGTCAAACTTCACCTTCGTGTTTACTAAGAATGAATGGGTAAGGGTAAGGAAAAAAAAGGTTCGGGGTCGGGGTCGGGGTCGGGTTCGGGCTCGGGTTCTACACTGTCATATAAAACCAAATAGAATAACATAGAATAGTCGAACTTTAATCGTACACGAAGCAGAAGTTCGGACACCCACAATGTCGCCATTCGCTGATAGGGAAACAATACAGGGGCTATAGACCTCATGGTACACGAAGATGAGGTTCGGATGCCCACTGATTCCAATAGTACACGAAGGAGGGGTTCGGAAACCCACAATTTCGCCGTTCGCTCGTAAGAAAACAACGCATGGGCTATAGAGCCAATAGTACACGAAGGTGAGGTTCGCAAACCCATTGTGCAAGACGAGAAAACAGCGTTCCTCTTTTCCTGCTCGCTTTCCTCTTCTTCATCCTCCTCCTCCCCCTCCTCCTCCTCCTGTCCCTCCTCTTCCTCCTCCTCCTCCTCCTCCTCCTCCTCCTCCTCTTCCTCCTCTTCATCCTAACCATCACGAACCAGAAACGAATAAAACCAGAATGCGCTCCCGAATCAAACCAGAACGACGTCCTTATGAAAACCCACTCTCAAGTGGACCAGAGGGCCACGATCCTCGTGAGTGGTGTTCCCGCATTGGGCGTCGGTGGGCCGTCGGCAGCGCTCCACAGTTGGCCAGGGCCACGATCCATGTGAGAGGTGTGCCGAACTTCAGCGTCGGGCGGCGATCCAAATGTGGCGAGGTCTACGATCCGTGTGAGGGGTGCGCCGATATTGCTTATCGGTGGGCCGTCGGCAGCGCTCCCAGGTGGGCCAGGGCACGATCCTCGTGAGCGGCGTGCCGGAATTGGACGTCGGTGGGCCTTCGACAGCGCTCCCGATTGGACCAGGGCCACGATCCTAGTGAAGTGCGCGCCGGAATCGCGCGTCGGAGGGCCAGGCCCACGATCCTCGAGAGGGTTGTGCCGAAATGAAGCGGCTGGCAGTGGCGGTTGCTCCAAATCCGACGTCGACACGAAGGACAAGTGTAAAACTGTCGTTTTTGTTCACTTCCTAATGCGAATCCAATCTACAGCCTCTACAGCGAATAGTGCACGAAGGTAGGCATTGGCGCGAAAGACACGAAGGCCAGGTTTGAAACTACGGTTTTCGTAATTCCCCTTGTAAGAGTCCTATTAGGCCTGATACAAAAGAAGAGTACACGAAGGTGAGGTTTGTAGCGACACGGAGACCATGTCCACCCCTACTACTACTACTACTAC